GCAACATTAGCGCCGCCAAACTTTCGCGAGGCTGCGGTCTTGTGGCCGGAGGGCTTAAGCCAAAAATTCGAGGCATCATGTTCAGGACCCATATTATCTCAACGTAATTATTTTATTTCATTTTTACGCTGCGAACAGAAAAACTTTTTGCTGGCATCCCTTTTCTGTTTTGGCACCCCCCATTTGAATGCTCGTATTTTGGCGGCAAAGTGAAAACTTTTTTCGAGCCTTTTAATGACAGAATAACATCACATGTGCCTTTCGCCAAACTCTGTCTCCTTTTCCCCGAATTCCTGGCTCTGTCAGAAGTTACTTTACTTGGTTTTGCATCAAGTTTATACTTGAGCCCAACCCTATCAGTGAAATAAAAGCTTATACCTTTATTTCATAACATTTTAAATTCACTTTCTTATCAGTTTTGCAATATTCCTAATGACATTTAATAATTTTATTGTGATCGATGATAGTTTAATTTTTTTAATAACTTTTAAAATGTTTCTTATCAATTATAATATTTTTAGATTTTTAATAAAAATAACATATGTTAATATTTGTAGTTATCAAAACAACAAATCGGTACAAAAATCGTAATATTCCACTTTTGTAAAATTTTAAGTAGACTTAGGAACTTGGGATCTTTTAAAGGGTATTTTAAGCCTCATCCGATGGTCGTTTTAAAGAGATTCTGTGTGCTTGCGTTGCCAAGGAGTATGCCAGTTAGACAAGTTTTCTTTTGTTTGGCATATCCCACGAAATCCCCCCGACGATGCTCTGCACTTCACTCATTTCCGGCATTTTGTTTTAATTAAATTTATAACAAATGTCATATAGCGGCAAAGTTTTTCTGCCAACCATGCCAGCATGGGAAACCCTTCTTCCTCTCCCCGTTGGCAGTGCATTTTCCTAGGAGCCTCTTAAGGCCAAGCCAATAGATACTAGACTTTAGCATTTAAACGGATTAAACGAAATTTATGCGAAAGATGAGGGTCATTGTGGAGAGGACCTTTGAGCTCTGCCAACGGTAATGGGGTTGTGAAAACTGGGACTCACATCAATGACCTTTGAATAAACTTTGCTTTACCATTCAACAACATTCGTTAGCTGATTTAAATAATTCTTAATGGAAGTATTTATAAGCATGAACATGCAGCTGCAACAGAAAAAATAAAGATAGAAAAAAATAATAAATTGACAGCAAGGTTCTAAGTAGATAATTTAAAAATAGATATCGCAATAAATAATTTTAAAAATGAAGCAATCAACTTTGAAAGCTTTAATGCAACAAGTTTTCAAGTATTGAAAGATTTTTAAAAAATATTTATGCATTTTAGATCTTCATTTTAGGCAACAAATTATTGCAATAATTCTTAATACACACATTATTGTTATAATAAACCTTTTAGAGTCCAATCAAAAATCTCCAAATAAGATAGATGCATAGATGTGGTATGCTTTTAGGCTTAGCCGGTTTAAGAGAAATTCATTTTGGCCAGACTCCCAGTCGACGACCAAAGATTTTTCCGGGGGCGCCAAAGAGAGGCGAAAGCCGACTACAATACGCAACATGTTTATGACATTTCCGGCCTTGGCCCTCGAACCGTTTTTTTGGGAATTGACCCCCGAAACCCTTTTCTCCATCACCTGTGGACGTGTGTGTGGCTCAGTTGGGGAATTTTTGGGCCAGGTTCCAGAGCATTTCGCCTCATGCTTTCAAATTTCTGCATTGCGGAAGCTGTGGTTGCCGCTAGTTTTTGGTGTTTTGAGCAGCTTTTCCTGCCATCGACATTTTACTTTATGACAAAGCGCCCACAGCCACTCCCGGACTTCTGTTCGGGACAGTTGTGGCCAACATGTGACGACCTTTTGGGGCCCCAACCGAATTGCATCCAAAGCCGGAAGGAATTCGTAGAAATTCCCAGGACTTAAAGCGGGGCATCAATCAAAGCCAATTTCGTTTTCATGCCTACGCCATGGCCAGTACTAAAATTTGAATCTTGTTTGCATATTGCAATGGACTTGGCTTGATTGATTGAAATTTGCGGTGGCTTCGGTACCAAACGAAATTGGCATTTGGCTGCTTTCTTTGACAGTTGCCATAATTCCAAGGCAATTAATAGGCAACGAATAGTAGCATGAAATTAATTATTTTGTTTGAGTGCAGTCGAAGTCAAATTGATTAGGTCATAATTATAATGAACTCCTTAGTCGACATAACGCTTTGATTTTGCCATTAAGTGTTCAATCAATTGGCATATCCACAGCTACAACTTCAAATTACTGATAAATCATGCCGGAAACTTGGTATATCATGTCTCTTTGAGCTGGAATTGGCCAAGTTTAAATATATCCATATCATACAAATGATATATTAATATTAACAAGAAATTTTGCCATGGAAGCTTTAATGTTATAGTCGTCCGTTTTTTCATTTATTTTTCCGATTGTTCCTATGCTATAGTCGTCCGATCTGGCTCGTTCCGACTTATGTACTACCTGCAATAGATATACAACTTTTGGGAAAGCATATCTTTAATGATGAGAGACTAGTTTGCGTGGAAACGGACGGACAGACGGACGGAGAGACGGACGGACAGACGGACATGGATAGATCGACTCTCCTAGTGATGCTGATCAAAAATATATATATTCTTTATGGGGTCGGATATGTCTTCTTCACTGCGCTGCAAGCTTCTGACTGAAATTATAATACCCTCTGCAAGGGTATAAAAAATTACCAAAAACTTTCAGTTTTAATTCCATAACTTTTCTCGCAAACATCCGAATTCAAAACGGCATACCATTAATGTATTGGGGCTTCAGTCTCTAAAACTCTGCGTTTAAAAATGGTTTTGTAATTTCGGGTCGATTTTTTGTCATTTTTATGATGTAACCCCTTTCTAAATATTCGAAAAAATCGTCTTTGCAGAAAAGTGACCAAAAACCTTCAATTCTAAATCGATAACTTCTGATTCACGCACCCGATTTCAAAGTTGTATATCTTCAAAGACTTGTTGCTTAATCATCTAGAAATTTGCATTTAAATTTTGTTTTGAAAGTTTGGGTTGATATTTTTACGACATAACTCCTTAATTAAATTCCGAAAAAAAATCATTTTAAAAAAGGTACCAAAAACCTTCAGTTTTAATTCCATAACTTTTCTTTAAAATATCTGATTTCAAAGTGGCATACCTTTAATGTATTGGGGCTTCAGTCTCTAAAACTCTGCGTTTAAAAATGCCTTTGTAATTTCGGGTCGATTTTTTGTCATTTTTATGATGTAACCCGAACAGACGGGCACACTGACAGACGGACGGACAGAAGACTTGATCAAGAATATAAATACTTTATAAATTTCGGAAATGTCTTCTTTACGTTGCGTTTGCGTTGCAAACTTTCGACTGAAATTATAATACCCTCTGCAAGGGTATAAAAACAACCAAATAAAGTTAACGTGAATTCATATTCAGACTATCAATTTCTGACATAATAACACAACTGAAATTGCGCCCAACCAACTACAATTAGGAGCACACATTTTTCGTGATTGCCCTTTTGTGAAATGTCAATCAAAATTGATCCATGGGCGGCGAGGGGGTAAAAATTTGTTCGCCTCATTCGGGTGAAAATTCGGTCATGTTCGGAGTGCTCAGCCATCATCGTCATTGTCAGGCAATTTGCAAGCCAAACAAAGGCAAACAATAAGTGCCAAGAAAATTGCCAAACAGTGTCCCATCGTTGGCTGCAGACTGCGTTTCAGATTTTCAGATTGATGGGGGCTTTAGCTCAAGTCCCAGAAAGAAAATTCCCATTAGGTGCGCTCTACAACTCGAACTTTACCTGTCGAGTAGCGACAAAAACTTAATAAAATCCATACACACATGAAGGAAATAGTTCGCATCATTCTGTGGAGTCAATTAAACTGCACAAATATTACAGCAAGGAGTCTGGGGCTTTGCATGCCTGCAAAAGCATTGACAATCCGCACGGCGAACACGTTCGGTTTACCTTAAATTTGCATTATATGCTGCAAAAACAATACTGCTGGATCATTTGAATAGCTACGATTTCCCTGTGTAATTTCATCGGAAGACGTTGTATATATTAAATATTATATATATTTAATTTGCCATCTGCAGACTATAAAGTAACATAGAAAATGTTGTTCATTTTTTTTAAGCTTTCAACAAATTTAACTATTTACCATTCGATTTTACTCACTAGGTGTGGATGTACGAAGGGCAATTGCATTGGCCACTATTAAACAACACATTTGTCCACATGCTTTCCCTTTCGCCTGCGCGTAACAATGCGGAAAATATAAAATCCGGAAGGAAAGCCCGAAAAAAAGGGACCCGGACCCGCCAGTTCGAGGAACGATGATGGCGCGTGCGGCGCATTAACTTTTCGCCCTTGCACATAAATTGCAGCATAACGTTTCGTTTACATGATTAAGAACTTTTCACTTTTCTTCGCGGCAGTTTTGTGCAGCCCGCAAAGTAAACGATTGAAATGAGGGGGTTAAAGGTCCTGAGGGGAAAAACTCGTAGCATTCTGTTGAATTGTAAACAGGGCAAATTTGGAGTAGTAGAAAGTTCGAAAATAAACGGGTGAGCACGAAAAAGTTTTCCAGCCTTTTCACATAATAATCTATTTTTTTTTTTTTCATAAACTTTTTCCCATTTCCACTTTTTGTCAGCTATTTCATTTGCCTTTGTGTTAGTGTTAGCCTTAGTTTTTCATATGCTTGTGTTTTTAAGACCCCTAACTCCCACAAGAGGATGGCCAAAATCTTTGCATATTTAAGCCAAATATGCAAAAAGCAATGGGTATTTGGTTAGCGTGAATATGCGCCAATGCGCGACAAAAAATTCACAAGTCCACAAGGGATATTATCTAACTTTTCCATTTAATAAACTTGTTTTCTTAAACTATCTTTAGAGTTAGTAACAATTGATTAAAAAGATTTAAGCTGCTAACTCAATTATAAGGCTGTCCGAAAGTGTGCAACACTATATTTTATTTCTAATTTTAAAACCTTTATGATTTAAGTATCATCCGCAGACTTTAAAAAACTGACAAAAAGTGTTTATACAATTGTTGAATGGTGAATGAAAAAGCTAAAATCAATAAAGGACAGAATAAGTCAAATAAAAATGCACTTGCAGCGCTTCTATGTCTCTTTTGGTAAATTAAATGCATCTCCTTGAGCCCATATTAAAGCGAATCCTTGGACTAGGGTTTCCGAGGGCTTCCGAGGGTATTCAGAGGCTCCTAAGCCGCTTAGTGGCGACACAAAAGTCACCAGCAGGAATATGTGGACATAACAAAGAAAAAATGGTGAAGTGACGGCCCAGCTTCCGTTTCCGCTTTTTGCTGTCGTTTCCTCTGCCCGAGGCTTCTGTGTGGTGATGACGACATCCCTTTAAAGTATTATAAATATCCTACACTTTTTTCCCCATTTTTTCATCTCGACTTACACAACCAGTTGGTCTGTGCAATTTATTTACTTTATCGTCTTGAGCAATTACACGCATGCAGCAACACAAATTGCGTATACGCCGTCGGTTATTGAACGATTATTGAGTGCTCGCCGACCGTTCATACCTGCTCAGGTGCCGGATAATTGTCAACTACAATATTTGATCTGAGTGAAAAAACCCCACACACTGGACTTTTGGACCCAGAAATGAAAGCAGAGAATATACAAAAATGTATTTCACCAAACAGCTACGATACCAAATATATTTGCTTGTATTTCAGACATTTTATCGTTTTTCTCTTTGCTGTACGTATTTATTCAACAAAAAAAGTTAAAATGTTTGACAAAAATATACCAAAAGAAGTAGCACAGAACATAAATGGGGTTATTTTTATTAAAATGCTGATAAAATCCGGAACATTTATATGGCTAAAATAAAAAAAAGGAACTTATTTAACTTTTTATTGAGAATTCATTATTCAAAATTATAAACGTAATAAATAAAGGGATTGATTTTTCTGAATAAAAAGCAGTAGATTATTTACTCAATTTTTGCAGTCAACGTGCAAATAAATAAGGAGTTCTTTGTAGATCATAAAAAGAAATTGGTGTCAACAAAATAAAGTCGTATTTATGACTTTTTCAAGAAAAAAAAATGTGCTATTAAAGGGCTTTAAATAAAATGTACAAAACTTAGCTTAAAATCATAGTTGGTAGTAAGCATTATTGCTGCGTGGATCCTTGAACTTTTTTTGGGCCAAAACTATCTTTTTAATGGTTTTGTGCTATGTCTACTGCACTTTTAAATGCTGGTGCACAAAGGAACCCGCATGGCACGAACGGCAAAAGGATATTTTCCAGAGAAGAGCACCAAGTGGGCAGAAAAAGAGCCTTGAGCAATGGGCAGAGCAAGTGATTTGCATGCCAAATTGATGATAGTTTGTCGATAGTCAGTTGATTTTTTTTTGCTCCTGGCCCTTCCACTTTTTTGCTGCCATTAAGCTGATTTGATGCCAGAACTGTGTGGGAGTCTATTTGTATAAGTATAATCGATTTATCGCAATTCAATGTTGAGTATGGAAATGCTTTTAGCTCTAATGAAATGCATAAAAGCATTTACTTGTCGTGCAGCACAAAGGCTTTTTTATTAACCTTCAATTTTCAAAGTTCAATTTTTGTTTTAAAATGGCAGACATGGAAAAAGAAAACCAAGTTAATAATTGTTTACTAATTAAATTTAATAATTGCACAATTTCTAGGTCACTTCAGCACTTTCAATATTTTTTTTTTCAATATTTTTAATTAAATAAAAAAAAACCGCCACAATTAATTAATTATCCATATATTTACATGACTTTTTGTAATCTTTCAAGTCATTTAACTACGTAGGTACATTTTGAAATTGTAGCTTGAAAAAATTGCTGGCCATTAAAAAAAGATAGAGAAAGGAAAAACAACCACGTTTGCGTAGAAGAAAGTTGCCGGACAAAAGATAAAGTTGCTCAACTTGCCATGGACAGAATGCCCATCATTTGCACAGAGTGAGGGCAAAGGTTACGGGCTGGTGGGCGTGTCAAGCTGAGGTCAAACTCGTAACCAAGTTTTTTATTTCTAATAACGATACTACGGCTCCGTAGCTCTCAACTAAATTGCCAAAAGTGCAGGCAACAAAAACAAAGCCCGACCAGGAAATATGCACTGCGGCTAATTGCAAGTGCGTTGAGCGAAGTGCACTCAGGTTGGGTCAACTTTTGATCGAAGGTATTTGCACTAATTAAAAATCCATCACGTAATGGAGCCAAAGTTAGCTGCATGCAACCGGATACCTTGGAGCAACAAAACCAATTTACTCAATTTTAAATGAGGCCATCAATTGATTGGGAATAAAGCTTAAGGAGCACTTACTTATATCAGTCTTTAAGAAAAAAACCTGATAATTCCCTAATAGCCCCAAAAAGCCATAAGCCTCAGTGCAACTATTTATTTTCTTTTCCTTATTTGTCCTTCTGGACAAATTAACATTGATATTTGGGTCAGAAAGAAGAGTTAATGGCAGAGTGCAGGTACGATAAGCATTTGCCATGATAGTTATATGATGATTAATAGTGTTCATAACATTGTAAATAAATGGCAAAGGAAAAGATACCTGGTTTGTGAATTAGAAATAGAAATGATTTATAAAGCTTAATACCAACAAAGTAAACTATTAGTTAAGCTAATGTTTTAAGTTTCTTTTTGTGCTTCTTAAACAAAATCACAAATGTTGTTCATTTTATGTTGGCAAATTGTATTAGTTTATAGATCGACAGACAAATAAGTATAACAAATTTAGTCTACAAACAAATTGATTATGAAGCACTCCTTGGCTTCCATTTGTGGTTATATATAAATATACTTATATATACATATACTCGGCTTGGGCATAAAAAGGACAACTCAAAAATTGTCCAAGCATGAAAAACGATGAATGGGAAAATGCGGAAAATAAAAGGAGGATGCTAAGAAATCGGCTTTTCCTTGAGTGGGGGAAAAGCATTTGCGGACCACTAGACGAAATTAGCTAGAGAAACGCTTAGTAATGGCAATTTCATAAATTTATCTTCTTGAATGCGTATTTATAGCATATTTGTGGAATCATTGGATGTGCCGGGGCTTTTGCGTTAATCATTACAATTCAAATATTTATGCGACCATTGTTTTCGAAACATTTTTCATTTATTTATTTAAATTTTAATTTTTCATTTTTCATTTGACGTCACTGCATTTCATTTCATTTCAGTTCGCTTCGCTTCGATTTCTTTCGTTTTCACTTCCCGGTTTTCCCTCTCTTCACATTTTGTCGCCTCATTTCCCCCCCATCATTTTCCACGGGTTTTTCTTTTGTTTTATTGATTACGCACATTTGAAAATCAATCAGCGAAGCAATCGCTCGGCCCCATTGACTGAAGTTTTGTTTATTTGTTCATTTTCCAGTCACTTTTTTGTGCGCCCGATTCTTTAATGTTCGCCTGGGCAAGCACTTTGCTCCTAATGGCCCAAAATCGAGGGGCTAAATTGCCACAAAAAATGCTCTACGACGTCTTGAGATACTGAGGTCATAGAAGTATATTTTTAAATCTATCGGAAAAGCTCTAATACAGCTGTACATTTTTTTATGTCTTTTGAATTTTTAGAGAATATTATAAATGATTTAAAAACCAATTCAAAGCTATTTGACCTTTATGATTTAATGAAAATATTAAAATATTTATCTATTTTAAGCTTAATGCCTATTTTCAAAATGTATATATATTTTCTTAAACTCTGAAACTCAAAGCTAAGGAAATTTAATAAGCATATCACAAATAACTTTGCATCCCTACCTTTAATGAAATATATAATGTTTTGGTACACGCGTATACTTCGTATTCACGTTTACTTGATGTGTTTTCCCCTGGCATTGTGCCAAAAAATTGTATGTTTTCTCCAACTCACAAAAGGGCAACGCATCCTACGAGTGTTCTGTCTGGTCGGCAAATATACAAGTCTCTTATGTTTGAATTAGGGAATGCGCCTGGGAAAATATACATATATACATATAGGCATTCGCCAAGGATCGAATATCGTTTCTCCTTTAACTGCAGGCAATTTTTCTATTTTCCACATCATTAGTTTTCAATGAATATCTTTGTTGCTGTATTTTTCTGCTGGGTTAAATGTTCCGCCCGTTCTTTCACTTCTCTGGCATAAGCAAATAAACTTATAAATTGGCCAGGACCAAAACTAAATCGAAGAAAAATCGAAGAAAGAGATGAAGAAACAAGTTCAATAGCAGCCATAAATCAAAAACACTGCCCAGGGGAACGAGAAAAGCGAAGGTTTTCTCTTTCTTAATTTTTTTTGTTCCCAGAGTTTTTGTTCGTTGGGTGATTGGGGAAAGTGCGTGTGTTTTGCCTGGGGCAATTGTAATAGAATTATTTTATTTTCTCGTATTTGACTTCTTGTCGCACGTTAAATAAGCAATATGAACAGCGAATCCGATTTCCGCACAAAATTCATGCACGAGCGACACTGAGAAATCATTTGAAGTCTCTGCAAATGCCCTGCGGTCGGCAACAACTTCATTATCGCCTTCAATTATCACTATCATCATCGTCGTCCATCAAAAAAAGGAAAAAAACCGGACAAATTTCGGACAAACAGAAAACATTTTCTCGTGCATAAATATATTTCCGGCAAATCAAGCAAATCAAAATCAAAATAAATATACAGGGCAGAAAAAAAATAAAAGCAAGTGACAATTTTGTTGGCCCTTGGTTTCGTTTAGGATATATAGTTTCTGCCATGGGACCAACAGACCTATTCAATAAAATCAAATGATGGGTAAATGTTGATAGAAAAATATTTACCCATAATTACAAGGTAGTTGAAAAAGAGAATAGGAAACGAAAGTAATTTAGCTCCATTTTTTATCAGAGCGTCATTTTTCATGGAACCGCACAGTTAAGAACCCCAAATTGACCATTAAAAACGCCCATTTTTGTGGGTCGGTCTATCAGTAAATGACTGTGTCATCAGCTTTTTAGCCACAAATTACACATTTCGATGGGGAAACATGAACAAATAGCATGGATCATTTTTGATGCGATAGAAAACATGTGCCCAAGCCTATGAATTTAATATTTTGGACCACTATAGCATTATTTTTATCGACAACTTAGCAGGTAAGTGCACTTAATTATTTTTCACGTTTATTTCCTTACTTTTAAAACTTGCACTCAATTGTTTTATTTTGAATGCATTCATTTATTTCAATATTATTTGTTGCCAGTTAATAGCATTGTGGTTTTCATACCAACTTATTTCGCTTTAACGTATTTACTATTAGTTATTATTTTTATTTACTTACCGTTGCTGTCACTTTGACTAATTGCATGGATTGTATGTTTACAAAAAAACAACTAACAAAGGCAAACAATTGTCCACGTTACAGATGAAGCAGCGAGAAATTGCAGGGGAAAATTAAGTCTCATGACATGTAATTAACCGATTTACATTAGGAGGACAACAAAAGAGAAACGGTTGGGAAAATGTGTAGGGACACGTATGTAAATGACCGCATTTCACTGTAGACTGTTATTGTGTTTTTGGCATTCTTTTGTGGGCATATGACCAAAAGAAGAAAAAACCACAGTTTGACTTATCTTCTCTCCTCGGATTTTCACATTTTCTTGACAAGCTGGTTTTGTTAACAACTAAGCAATTGCACTCTTATAAAAATAAATAACATAAACACATTTTCTTTGACAATTTAAATGATATTTACCACTTGTTTAGAAATTTTGTGAAATTTTTTCTCTGTGCTTTTCAACCAGTGAATGAAAATATTAAAAAAAATTACAAACAGTAAGTGAAGATTAGTAAATTAGTATTTTAGTAAATTGCAAAATGTTTTTCGGAGACATATAAAAAGCAAAAATTCTTGTGGCTGTCAACTGACAAAGTCCGTTTGACTTGCCATAAGGCCATTTTATAGATTTGTGCTTTCTACTTTCTGGCCAACAGCCACTTATCAGCCTTACCAAATCGCATTCAATGTTTTGGCCCATTTAACTAATGAAATACTGTACGGAAAGATAGCAATGCAAAATGGAGATATTGATGCTGAAACACTGAAATATTTTATATCATAGAAATACCCATATCTATCAATCATTACATAATGTTGCTTAAATGTTGTTAAACAACATATTTATTTCGCATTCAATTTGTAACTTGCATTCCTCAACTACTAAATTTTTGAGCACTTTAAGTAGAAAGATTCACACATTTTTTAATTTATTATATATTTGATGTTTAAATTCAGCATAAACTTTTCTTTAAAGCGCGAATTCATATCGATTTCAATGTTTATGTAGAAGTTCTTTATTGCGCACGTACTGAATTTAGGAATGCCTGGCACTTCCTTCGGACAAAGTGACAACGATGCAAATACTGAAATGAAATGGAATTGTGGACGAGACCCTCAAAAGCGCTTCTATTCTTGGTCAAAAGTTTTGCCTTCTAATAT